CTCCCCCCCCCCCCCCTCTCGCCTCGGTGACGCGGATGGTGAGGGGCGAGCGCTGCTTGGCAATGTAGTCCCAGGAGCGAGAGTTGGGCGCGTACTGGTAGAAGCGCTGCATGAGGATCGTGTCGAGGTAGAGCAGCTCCATCAAGGTGATGATGATCTCGACCGCCAACGCGACCCACTTGCTCAGACCGCACGCCTGGGAAGAAGGTTAGGTAAACTTCTCCACACACAAGGGCCAGGCAGCCCTCGCGACTCCACGTCTGAACGACAGGAGCCCCACGGCATTAAGTGCAAGGCCCAGTGCGCGTGGGCGGTGTGTGTGCGCGCGTGTGTGAGTGTGTGTGTCGGAGACGGCTCACGCGCCCGGCTGATGGAGTAGTCGGGCCGAGCTGAGAGACTACTGGCACTACTCGCTAAACTCGCGCGCCCAGCAGATCGAGTAGTACCCAAGTTGAGAGACTGGCCACGCGCAGCGACAGCCCATCCAAGGCATCACGAGGGGGAAGTTCTGGAACGGCGAGGCGAGCATGGGCTGGGGAGCGAAGGGCCGGCCGAGGACGTGGCCGTCATCGTCCGGGACGGCCTAAGGCGAGGCAACGTCAGGTTCTCCACACCACACACGAGGGGTGGGGGGGCGAAGCGTATGGCACGGGACCTTCCACGGCATCTCGCTCGCCGCAAGCTGGCCCTGGAACTCGGGGAAGCGCGAGATGGTCCACCACATGCAGAAGGGCACCTATTCGACAGCGGCAGGCCCGGTCTGTGGCGCGGTGGAGGGAGCAGACCGCACTCGAGGTGCTCCGAGTGCACACCAGCTGACCGTGGTTGTAGATGGTGAGATACGGCCGGCCGTCCGCCATGGTTACGTTCTTCATCTCGTTCACCCAGTCAAGGTCGCACAACGCATACGGCAGGATGTCGGTCGGCATGACCTTGAGGTTACCCATCGGCGCCGCCGCGGTGTCCAGAGTGTCCGGGTGCAGCATGTTCAGTGCGTTCTTTGCTTCCTCGGCCTTCAAGGCGTTGATCGCGGCTTTGTTGTCGGTTCTTAATAGCGCGAGCTCCTCGTCATCCTCCAACTGCTTCATCGCGTTGGCAACATCCTCGGCCGCCGCCGCGGCGGCATCCGCGTTCTGCTTGGCCTGCGTATACGCTGCCTTTACGCCGTCCAGCAGAGCCTGCTTATCCGGCTTGACCGGCACCGTACCCCCTTGGATCTTGACGGCCTGGGCGCTGCGGTAGGGCAACGGCATGGTGGCCGAGGAGCTGCCAGCGCGTCCGCCTCAGCCACTGTCCGACGAAGAGGTGGGTTGCCTTCACGAAGACCAACCCGAGCGGCAAGGTGGGGTACACAAACAAGGCGCCGCATATGCAAAACAGGAAAGAATTCACCAGCCCGCCAAGCTCGCAAACTCGGCGTTGCTGTGAACAGCGCCTCCTCACGCTCGTCTCTCTCTCTCTCTCTCTCTCTCTCTCTCTCTCTCTCTCTCTCTCTCTCTCTCTCTCTCTCTCTGTGTGTGTGTGTGTGTGTGTGTGTGTGTGTGTGTGTGTGTGTGTGTGTGTGTGTGTGTGTGTGTGTGTGTGTGTGTGGCTTTTATTATACTCACTGGGAGTAACTAGTCGTCTAGTTTGAGAGAGAGAGATTTTTAGCAAGTTTGAGAGGCGAAGACTCAGTCTGGCCAACGACTGGACACCATTCCAGGCGGTAAGGGTGGACTCACGCGCCGTTGAGACGGTCACACAGGTGACTTTTGGGCTCGGCAGCTTGTCAACTACCAGCCGGCTCCGGCTCCGGCCAGGTAGTTGACACACAGGAGCGATACAAAACAAATCTCTCTCATCTCTCTCATCTCTCTCATCTCTCTCTCTCTCTCTCTCTCTCTCTCTCTCTCTCTCTCTCTCTCTCTCAGGAGGGACACACACAGACACACACACAAGCTCACAAGACACATTCATTCAGCCAGCTGGGCTGCCACACATCCCGCAGTGATCTTCCGGCACTTACCTCGAGGGCACTACGACACTCGGGGCCGCACAACCCGGCTCGTCACGGCGCGACGCAGCGCCCGCGTACGCGGCCTTTACCTCGTACGCCGCCCGGTCGGTGGCGCCTCCGCCGTATCCGCATGCCCACCATTGCAAGGATATGCGTACGGCGGTCCGTTCAGCGGCGGCGCGGGTGCCGGCGCCGCGTACGGATACGGGTACGGCAACCCCGCTTGCGGCGGGTACTCGCACCGGGATGCGGGCGCGCATCGGCGGCGGCGGCGGCGTCAAGCGATCGCGCTATGACGACGCGCAGAGGGACGACACGCTCTGCCTGAGGCGGCTGCCGGAGTGGGTCGGCGAGGACAGCCTGGCGGGCCTGGTGAGCAATCTGCCCGCCACCTCAAAAGGGAGAGGGTCTCTCTCCCAGTAAGCTAAAAGTACGTACAAGTCAGTGCTCCAAGTCAGGGGGTGAACCGCGCCATCCTCGATCGCCGTGCAAAGCTCGCTTCACCGAAGCGATGGAGATAGATGCGTTCCGCGTGGTGTGACACAAATGAGAGGCAGGAGTGGGGAGGGTACGCGGTGCGGTCAACGCCCGAGCGTTGAGCCTTGCGCGCAAGGCGGTTGATCTTTGCAACTGCAGGCGGCGAGAAGCCGCCGCCGAATGTCTCGTGGAGAAGCAGGTTGAACTTGTTTCGTTTGGTGAAGATCCCATCATGGTAGTGGCCACGCTGTGACTTGACGTAGCAAAAAAGTACCTACTGGGTGAAAAGTTTGTACGTACGTCTTGTTTGTACGTACGTCTCTCCTTTTAACGTACGGACATTGGATTCCAGGGACGACTTTGAGGACGTAAATTCGCTGCCGCGAAGCCGAGAGTCCATCCCTCCCTGCCTGGGGTGCGCCCCCGCGTCCGCGTCTGACTGCGGCAGCGCAGGGCCCACACAATCCCTCGCCTGGTCCCACCCCCAATCGCCTGGGCCCACGCACTATGGATCGCGGCCAACCCCGCGTATTTATTTACATTAACATGGCCGATCTGTCTGTGCACTCTGTGCATTCTGGGCGACTACATATGCAGCAGTACAGACGACCTCTCACAACATGTACATGTGTCTAGCACGTAAATCGTTCGGAGGTCTTACAAGTCTATCGCCGATTCAATCAAGTTGGATTCCAGGGACGTTCACTGTCGTAGGACGTACGTTCGCTACGGCGAAGCGCGAGAGCCATCCCTCCCTGCCTGGGGTGCGCCCCGCGTCCGCGTCTGACTGCGGGGGGTGCCCGCGCGCGCGGCAGCGCATGGGCCCACACAATCCCTCGCCTGATCCCACCCCCAAGCATGCTGCTCATGCCGCCACATACATCTAAAATGTACCATTCACCACGCACTCCGACTCGCACAGGTCTGGTGCCGAGGATGATGAACGCCAAGAAGCCCCGCGCTACAAGGGATTCTTGAAGATCTTCTTCTTCTCCCTGCTGGCGATGGTTTTCGGGTTCCTCGGCGGGCTCGGTGCCCTGAAGGCAGACGCGCTGACCTCGTCGGTGCCTCCCCCCCGCTCCGCTGCACAAGGGCCCTGGATCCCTGCTCTGGCGTTCCCCGAGAGCAGCCCACCTCAGAAGCTGGCCATCCTGCGTGCGCATGATCGGCGTGCGCGAGCCTTGTCGCCAAGCAGACCCCCCCCCCCCTCCAGAGAGTGCGGTGGTGCCCCCCTCTCGCCACTCCCATCTCTCGCACTCGCACACCCCATCGACCCGCCCATGCAGTGGTCGCGCGAATCTCTCTCACTGCTCACTACACACA